TGTCTTATTTGGATGCCGACAGTCCGAATCTTACCTGATGGCTCAGACACGCACAGGATCATACTGAGACTTTTTTTTGTTGTTGTGGTCGTTGTATTCCCCCAGACTTTCTAAAAGCCATTGTGAATTTTTACTCTAACAAAATGAAATAGACACAGCATTGCCATTTGAACAGTATTTTAATAATCAAGATTTTTATGGTATGTTTTTAACAAGATAAATAGATAGAATTAGTCACATGAGTGTTACATTTACCAAGGAGTTTTTATTTGTCATCCTAGTGTTTTCTTTCTAAGTGATATGTTCAGCATCCATCTGTGTAAATGTCTAATTTTGCATCATTGAAAAACAAAAATCTAAACATGACTCATCCCAAGTTTACCCAAGTTGTTTGACACCCAAACAGCTTTGGGTATCAAAAACCCAACAACGTAGCCTTTCCAGAAGGCGTGGAAGGTGGCTACGAAACGGTTGGTGTCTGACGTGGTGAAACAACAGCATCTAGAGAAACTTCTAAAATCCATGCTACTGGAAATTCCCTTAAAAAAAAATCTCTGGTCAGTATGTTATGTTTTTGCCTGTGTAGGATAAGCTGTGATGTAGCACTAGCCAGTCAGTGTGTGCGCGCAGTATGGGTGTACTTCTAATGTTTTCACTGGTCTTTACTTGCATTTAAATTGGGCTGAAGGCTGCCTGACGGAAATGGGATGTTGCGTGGTCAGCTTGTATGCGTTTGGCAGATGTGTGCGTTATGCCATGACACTCCCCTTATTGTTGTGACTGGCTCAAGGGCATATGTGCCCGCCTGTGTGCATGTGTCAACAGTACAGAGAAAGATGGCGGTAGGGGGCAAGAACTCGGTCTCTTTCTCGCTCTTTCCCCTTTTCACCATGCAGAGAGGGTTGTCAAGGACAGGATGAGAGCAAAGGAGCAGCAAATTGATTATCCAGTGTGCAGGAAATGTGTCCAAGGCCTCTGCAGGGAGACAGAAACAAAGCAAAGGCCTCATTCAGGAGACGCTCTCAGACATACCAGAGCTAATGTAATTATAAAACAGTGACGCGATGGCCCGCTAATTTTGTGTTGGTACTCCAAATGTTGAATAACTCCAGTACACCCAAACTCCGCCTTAATCTGGGGCCTGATGTGTTCTTCACTTCAGTTTCCATCTTGTTATGTAACTCATGTGTTATGTGCCCCTTGAGCCAGGGAGGAGCCACTCACGATGTATAGCCAGAGATGATCAATAGAGCTTACAAAGCACACAGAGATGTTATGATGAAGCATTTTGTCAACTGATTGCAAACCTGCAGTCTAGTCTAGTCGCTGTCTGGTGTTCAAAATAGTGTTTCTAATGCTTTATCAGTAGTCTACACTAGCCACATTTTCAAGAACGGGATGTTAGACGATATTATCACTTAAGCTAAGAGTAAACAAAATGACCAATTGAAAGCACAAACAGAAGGTCACCACATCAATTAAACCTTCACCTTTCAGATACAATTCACCCAAGTGTGCTCTCACTATGAGGTAAGTGGATGCTGACCTTACCCTGCAGGGAAGAACGAGCTCAGCTCCAGTGTCAGTTACACATAAGAGGAGGCTCTCATCACAGCAGAAATAACAATGAACCATTTTCACGTCAATGAAATGCAGTTATTGGTGGGACATGCAGCAAGGAAGGTGGGTTTGGATGTGGGGCAGTCATACTT